CCCCAAGTGAGATCTACAATTTAAAAAAAATTCAGCCCTAAAGCTCTTATAGAATTTGAGATATTTATGAAAATGTAATGTATATACACACACACACACACACATACGGAATGACATTTTCTAAAAATGTCATTTTTGGATTCCTGAGGTCAAAAAACATAAAGATATGTCAAAAAAATGAGTTCGAAAAATTTCGCGAAAACAATACTTCCTCCATGAGGAAGCAATATATATATATATATATATATATATATATATATATGTTTGTTATGTCTATGGTTCCTATAATTGTTGATTTAATAATTCTCCGGAAGCATCGAGACGATTTTTTGTGATAAGTTTTATTTAAATAATTTTAAGAGTGGTTGTAGCCCCAAGGAAATGTATCTGTTGTTCTTTGAATCAATTGCCTCTTATCGTCTTCCCAACTAAGGACAACTTTATTTTGTTTCAAAGTATAAACTTTATGTTTACGACTCTGACTTAAAAATTTTATCTTAATATGATTCTGTTGATTATATAGAGACTGATTAAAATCATCCATCTTTATTGTTTTTAATGTAGCTTTTTTTACACCTTTAGCTTTCTTTTTCTCATCATTTTCATCAAAAATTTTAAATGCATATAATTTTGAGCGTAAACCAATAAATTCTTCTATTATTTTTCCACATGTTTCATCTTTCATTAAACCTAATACTTTTTTATTACATAAAGGTATTCCATATACATTATTCGGAGGGTAGTCAGAGGTGTCAAATTTCATGATATCTCTTTTTATATATTGGTAGAAATCGTGAACATTTAAATCATATATTAAACTATCGGTGTCTGTGTAGAGTAATTTTGCTTGTTGTTTAAAATTCTTTTTAATATTATTGTAATGAAAATCGTAAATTATTATTTTGGAAATATCTAAAATAGAAAAACCCATGTAAATAGGTTTATTAAAATTAATTTTTAATTTATTTAATTCAATAATAACCATATCCTTTTCAAAAATAATACAACTATGAAAATATGGTTTACCAATTAAAGTCTTCGCACCGTACCTACCATCCCATTTGGTAATTAACCGAACATCTTTATGTTTTCTAACATTTTCCATAGTTTTTCCAAATACAGAATTATTCATAAGTTTATAGAAATTTTTTTCAAATTCATTATTCGATTTTTTGCGTAATTCTGTATTTAGATCAATATAATTTTTTAACATTGCGTCAAAGACAAGTCCAGGAGCAGTGTAGTAATGTACAAACTATAGGTGGATATACAAGCTTTTCTAAAATTTTCAAAAATATCTGCGAGCAAAAAAACATCTGTTTTTAAATGAATGAATTTATTTATAGGTAATAAACTAATCTTTCCTTTAAACATTATTGCTAAAGCTTTAATAATAAAATGAGAATCGTAACCAGATAAATTATGGAAAACAACTGGAATGATATAAAAAATCTTATAGTTTAAATTACAGCTTTGATGAGCAGCCCCGCGATATTTACCTGTGAAATGGCAATGATCACGGTGTTTAATGTCATTTTCTTCAAATTGTTTTTCACAAATATGACAAAATTTAGCTGTTTGAAAGTCTAATTTTTGTTGATCTGTAAGTGATTCCATTGGTATAATATTTTTAAAGCATTCTGTATCTAATGATTCAGCTAATGATTTTAATTCATTTACAAACCACTGTATACAATCTTGACCACGATAAAAATTTGTTTTACAAAGTGACTCATTAAAACTACATTGTAAATAATATGCTACACTCATACGAACATGCCTTTGATAAACAGATGTATCAAGATTATTAGTTTCATCCAGTGATTCTAAAAGACATTCAATATCAGCGTATAAAACAAAAGGAACATTATCTTTAAAACGATGATTTTGAAATTTAAGTATTTTATTATTTGCATTTGCTAAAAATAATCTACAATTATTCATTTTTTTACAAGCTAATCTATGTTGTTTAAATGAAATTTCTGTAACAAAGTGACATAAACATCTATCACATATTAAAATATGATGCTCATGTCTTGAAATGTTTGAACCTACTAGTCTTGATAGATTTTTTATTAAGGTAAAATGATATATTGAATTTTTTATATTAATATTAATATCATTTCCAATATAATCATCATCATTAATATCAATAAGATTGTTTTCTATCATAAAAAGATGAATTACAGGTAAATCAGATTTTTCTTGACTTAAATATACTGGAACAATGTCTCTATTTTTACCTTCTAAATCTTCACAATAAATGTTAATACTTAATTTATTCATTTTTTCAAATTTTCTTATTCCATCAAAACTAATAGGAAAGTCAATATTATCATATTTTAAGACATTACTAAAATGTGGATATGAACTAATTCGATATGGATGTGTAGATGTTGTAGGATATAACGCTGCTGTTATGCACCAAAGAAAACAATATAAATCATTATTCTCAATATTAATAATAGCTTTTTTCTGTTTAATATATTTCGGTAAATCAATGTAAGTTGAAAAACCTACTCCAAATGCATCATATCGATTTATATTTACTACTAAATTAATTATTTCAATTTAAGACCATCCTGAATCTCTTTCTTGAAATTCTTCAATTTCTACCAATAATTTATTTATCACATTTTCATTATACCATTCATTTAAATCTGTTGCAGGTGAAATGATTTCATTTTTTGTAGTCATATGTTTTACATCAGAAACCATTTCTCCTTCTTTTAAAGTTAGAAACTTTCCATAAAAAATTGTATTTACCTTTAAATTGGGATGATTACTTAAACTCTTTTTAATATTTTTAATAATCAATGACTTTGAATCCTCTAAAAAATGTTTACAATCTTTATGAATAAAATTTATTACTAAACCTGTTTTTATACGATATTCAAACGCAGTCTCTACATCTTGCCATTTGATTCTCTTCACATGTAGATATGATAAACTACCACCTTTTTTCTTTAATTGATCTATTTTCATAGTGAAAGCTTTTAAAAGAGCTAAACATGAAGCTAAACTCAATTTTTCATTCACAGATAATATTTCATCCTTTTTCTTCATAAATTTCTTCGTTAAACGAATATTCATTTTTCCAAATTTTAACCACTGTTCACATTCCAGAGAGCTTATATTCTTCTTTTTTTCCTTTATTAAACTATAGGCCTCTTGCATAAAACGCACAAGCAATTTTATTTTTTTCATAGACATTTTCAATATATATTTTTTCAAAGAATGTATCAAATATTCTTGAAGAAAAATTTTAATTCAATAGAAAAAAAATCAGCTTTTGTATAATTAAGAATATTAACTTCTTCTTCTTTTACTAAACGAATGTTTAATTTCTTAAACAAATAAGTTAACTTTAACAAAATCACTTGGTTCAATTTAAAAAGTAAAACTTATTTTAAAAAAGTGTTTCCAAACTGATTATCAAAATGGAAATAATTTCATTATATAAAAACTTTCGCCTTTTATAATCCTCAATTTCTATTCATCTTTTGTAAAATCATTTGTAAATGTAAATCATTTGTAAAATTTTATTGAATTTTACCGTTTCGTCTTCAAGATAAAAATTGATAAAGTTTGAAGTTTTACATGGGAACAGTGAAAAAACTTGAAAAATCACCATGTTTTTATTGATTAAAAAAAACCGTTCTACAGATTTTTTTAAAAAACTAATATGTTTTAAATTATGAGTTTTTACAGCTTTTAAAAAAATATGAAATTTTTTGCCCGTTTGGTTTTGAAGAAAATGTTAATCAAAGTTGCCCACTTTTGAACTTTTTTTCCGTATTTAAAAGAGAGAAAGAAAGAAGTGGCAACAGCGCTTGAAGTCTCTAGAGAGATTCGATGAGTCGAACTCGAACGCTTGAATCTCGAACAGCGCAGAGGGACGTGATTGGTCCGCGCTACATAGCGCGCTTTTTGAACGAATGCAATGTGTTTGTCTAACATATTCATTACATTTTGTCGATTTATCATGTTTATCGACGTTATTTTTAAGACAGAAAGTAATAATTATTTTTTACAAATAAATTTAAATCATATTGAATATAAATAAAATATTTTAAATAAAGAATTAAAAATGACGGATATTTGAGGTGATATAATTTTTACAAATAAAACGTATATTTTGTAGAAAAATAATATTAAGTAATTGAATTATTAATTAAAATGAAAAGTATTTAAAAAATTAAATTTTTTTATTAAAAGAAATAAATATAAAGTGTTTTAATTTCTTACAAAATTAAAACCAGTTATTGTTGATAAATTTCAGAGTTTATTATTAAAAAATTATTAATAATTATTTAAGTGTTTTATTAAATTGAATATCTTTTTGTTATCATTATTAAAAAATATGAATATTTTTTAAAATATTTAAAATTATAATTTACAATTAATTTTCTTGTAAATATTTTAAATAATTAAATTCATTTTTTAGAAAATTCACTGATTGATAAATGTATAATAATAAATTGAAAGTAACAAAATTTTACAAGAAAATCTAGAGGTTGGGGTAAATTTTAAGTAAATAAGAAGCAATGTAATTTAATTTATTTATTACAAAAATGAAAATATTTTATTTATTTATCTCGATATAGTGATCGAGGTAACTTTGGTAACTCTTTTTTTTACATATTTTACTTACACAATTCGGTAAATCATTTATGTAGATATAGGTATTATTTATAACTTCCGTAACTCTTTTAAAAATATTTTAATATAAAAAAACGTCAAAAAAACATAAATTTCCTAGTTTGAAACAAATTTTTCTCTTTACAATGAAACACATACTCCATAAACTAATGCTTATCGCAACTTACCTCAAATCCCTTTTTAATCAACTTAAGAATTTTTAATCTTATTAATAATTTTATACTGAGACTTTTTGTTGTTGGTAATTCTAGGCTTACCATCTTCTAATTTTTCCGATAATATATGCAATAATGCTTCCTCGCCTTTCTGTCTATAGCATTCTTTTAAACTATCCACAGTTAAGGATGCTCTAGCCATTTTTTTATTAAAGATTGCGATACAATACTTTTGAAAGGAACCAAGCTGTCCAAATTTTCTTTTAATTTATTACAATCCAAATGTTCTTGTAAATAAGTATCATAATTTTTCCTGAAATGCAACAGTTCATTTTCCTTATCGATGGAATCTATTAATTTCTTCAAAACTTCAACGTCAAATAATGCGTCATGAAAACTCGTGTCTGATGTCAATTCTAAAAGATCTTCAGCTAGTGTCCCCAATTTAAACATACCTGCACCTTTTCTGTCAGGAAAATGCTTTTTCAAAACAGCAATACTGTCCGTAAATCCAATGACATTACTAAATTGCTGTTGTAAATTGCAATTAGTAATAGCTCCGATTAAGTGAGAAGCATCGAACTTAGCATTATGTGCTACAAGTAATACCGGTTTACCTGATAAACACAGAAATTGATGAAATGACAATAGTGCATCTTTCAAATTGACAGTCAATATTTCTTTATTATCTTTGAATAAATGCCCTTTTTTTGTAGTCAACCCAGTTATTTGTGATGCAGAATGGGATATGTTTTTAGTCGGTGTTATGTACTCGCAAAATTGAAAATTTTCAAATATTGCTCCAATTTGTAAAATTTCATCTGTTTTAGCTAACCCTGATGTTTCTAAATCGAAATAAACAACGGAATGTGACTTTTCACCAGTAAATTTCATCTCGTTTGCATCATTTTTTAAAGCAATTGCACAATTTGACCTATATTTTGTCCCCTCCTTTCTCTCATTAGACTGTCTTAATTTTTCTCTTTCCTTTAATAATTCTTTTCTACGCAATTTTCGGCTTAAATCTACAGCTCTCTCGACTCGCAATTTTTTAATTTTATCTGCTTTTGAGACATACGACTTCGTGAATGTACCGGGCTTAATATTGAGATTATTAGTAATATCTAACAGACTTGACTCTCCATCATTTTTGGCAGAAACTGCACTAGCCACTCTGCAATCAGCTGAAGCACTTTTGCTGTAGCAAATATTTTTTGGCAATTTATGTGCAATTATATTATTAACGCTTTCATTCCTTTGGCTTGATGCAGCTACGCAGAATTTACTGGAGTTATCAGCATATTTACAAAAAACATCTTTTAATTTTTTTTTCAAAGTATCTCCTGTCAGTATAATTGTCTGATCTTGTGATTTATCACCGCGTGAACACCAGTCGCCACAATTCTTGTGATTTCCGAATACATGGTCAGGAATACTGCGTAAAACATTAGCCAACTCTTTGCTCTTTCCCCTATTTTGTGCGACGGCATATGAAAAACATTTTTTTAAGTGATCGATAACACCTTTTCGTTTTAACTCTTTACAAGAATTAGATAGTTCGTATAAATCTTTACCAAAATTTTTACTTAAGTGATTTTTATCCGAAAGCTTGTGTACAGTTTCAAAATTTCCTTTTTTTACTGCACACATTGTACTACTATCATCGTCGCCAATCACTACTCGCACCTTCAGTCCTACCTCTTGTAAAATTGAACTGTTGTTAATTAATGCTGCTCCAGCATCCGATTCCATAGCTTTTGCACTACCAATGAAATTCTTACGACAGTCGTGTTCTTCTTTATGACCTTGATCACACAGATGCGCGGTTGCCAAATCTCAATTCTCGGACAGTGAGATGGTGTAACACTATGTACATACATACGTTACTCTATGTGTGAGTCGGCCAGTGGAGCTCAACTTTTATGGACTGTAACTATTGGTAATAAACTTACAGAAAACCCCGAATATAATGAGTACCGCTTGAAGGGATGAACTTCCTTAAATTATTTTTCTTAGAATGAATTACTAAGCGAAATTTATACACCATAGAATTTGCGCATTAAATAAACAAAATTCTCAGGTGGTGTTTTTCACATCTAATATTTAATAAAAAAAATTATTTACATTATTTTATTCTTAGAAAAAATAATAAGCAATATTTTTTATATCAAATAATATAACGTCTTAAATTAAAATCTCAATTGCAAATAATTATGCAATTTATGAAAAAAAATTTTTTTGTTAAAAATAAATTTAAAAATCTTTTCTATACTTACCATTAATCCTCTAAATATAACATAAACTTTTCACTAACACCTATTTATTTTACTTATACTTATAATTATAAGTTTCACAATTTTTGTTGAAAAAAAATTTTTTTCAAAGGAGAGGGGTGGGGAACGTTCATTAAAAAAAACAGCGAAAAAATCGTTCTGTATTTGGTTTTTTATTTTTTTTTCTTATTTAGCACGGATTTGAACCAATTTTTTTTCAGTGTCGGTAAGTGTCGGTTACAGGTTTCTTGGCGTAGAACCGGCACAGTATATCTACTAAAATATCCTAGATCTGTCTAAGAGAAAAAAAATTATTTTTGAAAACAATGACCTTACCCAGTGGGCACCAAGATATCTTTAGGATGACTTTAGAACGTTCCAAATTGTCCTAGGACATTGCGTCAATGTTCCAAAGACATAAAAAAGACGACTTAAAGACGCCCAAAGTATATTCTATGTCTTCCCCAGAACAGTCATAAGAATGTCCTAAAATTGTCCCAAAAATGTCTTTATTACGACTATAGAAAGTCCCCAGAATTTCCTAAAAATATCCCCGAAATGTCAAAAAACGTCTTAAGAATGTCCTGAAATTGTCCCCAAAATGTATTAAATACGTCTTCAGAAGGTCCCCAGCATGTCCTAAAAATATCCCTGAAATATCAAAAAATGTTCTCAGAGTATCTTAAAAATGTTCCAACCATATCCTGAGAATGTTCCAAATATGTCCTGAGAATGTATCAAAAATATGCTGAAAATGGCTAAGTAATGTATTAAAATGTTCCAAAATCTTTGATAACCAAAATGAATATTACGTTGAAATTATGTATACTTCATAGGCTAAAGAGCGCGTAATGTAAAGGGTATTAAGTCTTAAACGCCAAACGACCCACAACACCGAAGTGCTCTTGAAGATCCAAATACACAAAAAAAGTATATCACGATTACTGGTCATATATATTGATCCTTAGGGGCTAATTCGCAGAAAAAGGATTATGTTCTGAGAATGTACTAAACATGTCAAAAAAATGTTCAACAGACTTCTTTGTTATATCCTCAATATGTCTAAAAAATGTACTGAAAAGAATCAAATTTTTTCAATAATTTTCAAAAATATCTTTAAGGTTTCTTCTTAACTGCTCTAGGCCAGGCAGAACTTGTTTTGGATGTCATTATTTCATTCTTTTTGACATCTACAGGATGCCTTTTTAGGGACATTTTTGGGATGTCCTAAGGATATCTTTAGAACGAGTTTTTAACAATGTCCCAAGAACGTTCCGAAAAAGATGTCCTTGGGACATCCAGTGGACGACCGTGCCCATTGGGTATCTAACGAGAGAGCTCTTACAAAAAGCAGGAAGTCGTACGCATAGCTTTGCGTATAAAATCCCTGACCGTTGAGTTGTACTAATAACTCGTCTGCCACCAAGCTCCACAATAGCGGAGATAAAACTCCGCCTTGTGGGCAACCATAGGAAACTAGGCGATTTATTTTGGCCTGTCCGTACTCTGCTTCCAGGGCTCTATTATGGAGCATACCTTTAATCCACCTAATCAGTGAATTTGGTTTGCCACATCTTTTATCCGCATTGCATATTGCTTGACTACAGGTGTTAGGGAAAGCACCCTCTATATCTAGAAAAATGCCCACCGCATACCCCCCTGAGTGTAACTCTTCCTCAATTCTGCTAATCGCTGAATGAAGGGCTGCTTCTACAGAACAGCCTGCTCTATACGCGTGCTGTCCCGGATGTAATGGTTGATACGTCAGACATTCCTGTCTGATAAAAGTATCTATCAGTTTCTCTAACATCTTAAGGATGAAGGAGGTTAAACTGATCGGTCTGAAGTCTTTGGCTGCTGTATAACCAGCACGCCCAGCCTTCGGCCTAAACATTACTCTGGTCATTTTCCATGCTTCAGGAGTGTAACCTAGAGCTATACTTGCTCTCATGATTTTAACCAAAGGTAAACGAACATACCGCAGTCTTTTTTGTAAGAGAACCGGGTATATGCCGTCTCCCCCTGGTGCCTTAAATGGCTTTAACAGGCCTAAAGCCCAATCAATCTTTTCCAGAGTCACAATGTCGGATGCAAGTTTCCAGTGTTCTCGCCCAGGACGAGATGTACGTGGATTCCTATTGCTCTGCACTGATTCTCTGAAGTCTGGGAAATTAATTCCCACAAGATGCCTCAGATACTCAGCTCTGTCACGGGCGAAACGTCAGTTAGGTAGCTTAATTGAAGATAGCTTAGCTGTGGCATCTCTGGCTACAATTTTATGAAGTCTAGATGATTCTGGTATCTTCTCAATTCCTTCACAAAAGCTCCTCCAGCCGGATGCTCTAGTCTTGTCTATCTCTTTTTTATAGGAATTACAAGCGTTATGGTACAAAGCCCATTCCTGTTGATTCCTATTTTTCTTTGCTTTATGCAGCAACTTTCTCACCTTACCCCTAAGACTTTCCAACTCAGCATTCCTTCAAGTAGTTTTCCTCCTAGTTTCAAGTCTTTTTGGGTTACAGTTTCTCTCAAAAGCGGAAATAATTGAATCCTGCAGAAAATTTGCTGCAAGTTCCAACTCCTCTGCCGTACCATAACTGGTACATGGAAAGAAGGTTGCACCCATAATCCCTGTGTATTCACTTGAAACCATGGTAAAGCAGTATATTAAAAGGTGCACGGCAAAATCCCGTGCCAAGCACTTTCTTTCTCGATAATCTACAGTTTGTTTTAACCTGTCACTTCGTACACCGAGATTATAGGTGCAACCGTCTTTCCGCGTAGGAAAGCATTTCATGGAGTCTCTAAGGTCTTCACAAATGAAGACCAATTGGTACTTCTAGGATATTCCACAATAACCTCGAACAGATAGTAACATCCAAAACTTCCCTCCTGTTTTTAGTAACAAAGGTAGGTTCGTTTCCTTTCGAAATGTTATATAGTTGAAATTTTTTTTTGAATTTTGACCTAAAAAGAGTCAAACAAAATTTTTGAATCGTTTTTACTATAATGTGTGACTCTGAACGGCTCGGCTCTAGAGCTAAACTTGTGCGCGCCTTCACAAAAAGTGCAGTATCTCTGAAACTATTCAAGTCTCCATCATTTCCTTTTTTTTAAATGAAAGGTGAAATTCTAAGGAATATTTTACTTGTTTTCAAGAAACTCAAAAATCAGTTCCGTTCGAGTAACGATTCAAAAAATTTTTTTGACATTTTTTGGTGGAAATTTTGAATATTTTTTTTATATAATATTAAATTAAACTACATATATTTAGCTACATCGTCTGTAATTTTTATCAAAATCCGTTTGACAGTTTTGGAATTATAGTTTTCAAAAAATAATGCACTGATTTTCAAAATGGCGTAGCGGGCACAATTTTGAAAATTTAGTAAAATCCTTCAAAACTTTAAACTATTTCACCTAAAACTATTACTTCCCCCAGTTTCAGAGAAATCGAAAGACCACTTGCAAATCGCGATATTTCTGACGGAGTCTTACCCTATGGGAAGGTGAAATCGCCCCAAAAATTTTATAACAGTAAAATTTTTATTTATCCAATTATACACTATTTTGAAAAAATGTTATCGACTCAAAAATTTGTTTGTGAAATAATAACTTTTTAACATTTTTATTTTTTTTACGCACACACAAAAATTGTAATTTTTATTCAATGTGTTGGAGTATTCAAATATTGGCGCTTCTTTTATTATGTTACTCGTTTGACTCTAGTAGTCATTTCCTTCTTCTCCGACTAAGCGCGACTCTCTGCCTCCCTCCTCACTTTAGTACGATCGTACGACTTGTAAAGAGCTTCGTCTTTGAACAAATAAACGACAGTTCCTTTTGTATTTAATTGTTGGGTACTGATTGTTTTTCCGACCTCTAAATAACTAATATCTCTTCAGGTTATGGGCCCAGGCACGTTTCCACTGCCCTGTGTTTTATAAAATTGAAAGATAGTGCACGAATTGTAAAATGTGATCGCGGCGTGCTCGGTTCGATTTTCTTCGACGCGGTAGCCATCTTAAACACGTTTTTGTGAAACAATTTATCAGGTGCCTTTTTGGAAAATATTAAGATCGGATATAAATTGTGAAATAACGATGCCATCGATAGTGAAGGAAGTGCTCGAAAGATGCAGAAGAGCATTGGATCTAGATTCAAACAAAGATATGGAGGTACAAATACGAATGGATGAAATGTTCTTCACAGTCACCTTCTCTGAAGGCGAAACGATTAGTCTGAGTAAGTGATATCCGTACGATTTATAAACTGACAAAAGAATAAAATAATAATTAAAATTAAACGAACGAAAAATAATTTATCAGCTGATAAATGACTGTATTTCATTAACCACTTGAGCGTCATGGCGTTCCAACTGGCGTCGTGCGTGGCAGTGACAGAAGCGTCAAAAATGCATAAATGGCGTTCCTACTTGAATTCAATTTGTAAAGTCTGTAGACATAATTAACTAACTAG